TTAAGAGGACACGGAACTCGGGTAATGCTTGCTGCCATTCAGTCCAGAACCTTTTGTCTTCTCGTCTGCTGTCTAAAAAACATAAAAATTAGAATATACAAAACTATAATTTTGCCTGCGGTTCTGTATGGGTGTAAAAATTGGTCTCCGACATTAAGAGAGGAACATAGGATGTTTGAGAACAGGGTGCTGAAGAGAATATTTGGATCAAAGAGAGATGAAGTGACGGGAGGCTGGAGAAAACTGCATAATGAGGAGCTTCATAACTTGTACTCTTCTCCAAGTATAATTTGCATGATCAAGTCAAGGAGGATAAGATGGGCAGGATATGTAGCACGAATGGGAGGAAGAGGAATGCCTATAGGATATTGGTGGGAAAGCCAGGAGGAAAGGAACACCAAACTGTAGGTGGGTGGATAATATTAAAATGGATCTTAGAGATATAGGATGGGGTTTTATGGACTTGATTTTACTGGCTCAAGGTACGGACCAGTGGAGGGCTCTTGTAAACATAGTAATGAACCTTTTGGTTCCATAATCATCATCATCGGTAATCTGTCAAGACGACAGGTCCACAGTCCCTTCCAAAACAATTCCTCCACTTAATGCGATCTAGAGCTTTCTCCTTCAAATGACAGTATCCTCTTCTGTCCCCAAGGTCAACCAGCATCTTCTTACGTCTTCTACCTCGTCTTAGCACATCTTCCATAAATTGTTGAGAAATTCTTAAATAGCTGCGCAACTGACGGCATCTCAAGAAAGCTTCAGGTTCATGGGATTAGTTCATTGTACCATATTATTAAGGTGGTTGTTTATTTATTATTAACTGAAGTATCTGTCTTTGCCCAAGTTTTTGATAAACTAAGTTAATGTAAAAGTGACGTACTTACTTCCTTACTTACTCATGGAGCTGAGCCCTTCTGGAGGAGCCGCCAATTCTGCAGCTACTCAAGAATTTCCCAGCATTTTATGGAACCCAAAGGTTCATTACCGTGTTCACAAGAGGATTCCACCGGTCCCTATCCTGAGCCAGATCAATCCAATTCATTCCATCCCATCCTATCTCTCTAAGATCCATTTTAATATTGTCCACCCACCTACGCCTTGGTCATCCCAGTGGTCTCTTTCCATCTGGCTTTCCCACCAGTATCCTATATGCATTCCTCGTCCCCACCATTCGTGCTACATGCCCTGCCCATCTCATCCTCCTTGACTTGATGATTCTAATTATACTTGGAGAAGAGTAGAAGTTATGAAGCTCCTCATTATGCAGTTTTCTCCAACCTCCTGTCACTTCATCTCTCTTCGGTCCAAATATTCTCCTCAATACCCTGTTCTCAAACACCCTCAGTCTATGTTCCTCTCTTAATGTCAGAGACCAAGTTTCAAACCCATACAGAACCATAGGCAAAATTATAGTTTTGTATATTCTAATTTTTATATTCTTGGACAACAGACGACAAGACAAAAGGTTCTGGACTGAATGGTAGCAAGCATTACCCGAGTTCAATCGCCTCTTAATTTCCTCCTGAATCAGGTTTCGATCTGTTATCTTTGTCCCCAAATATACGTTTGAATTGTGCCACATTTTCAAAACATCTGTTTCCTATCTTTATATCATAATCTTGCCCTGCATTTGTGTTACGAGACAGTAACATACACTTAGTTTTCTCTGTGTTTACTTCTAGACCAACCTACTTACTTGCGTCAATTAAAGTTTTGTGTTTTTCTTTATGGTATCTACATTATCACCCAGTAGATTCACATCATCGGCATAGACCAACAGCTGATGTGTTCCGTTTAGTTTCAGTCCCACCTGGTTTCCCTGGACCTTCCTAATTGCATAGTCTAAGGCAAAGTTGAAAAGAAGTGGAGATAAAGCATCTCGTAGTTTTAGACCATTCTGGATAGGAAATTTATCAGACAAATGTTTGCCCACGCGGACTTTACTATACGTTTCGTTTAAACACATTTTAATCAACCTAACTAGTTTAATGGGTATCCCAAACTCTATTAGAATACTGTAGAATACTTCCATCCTAATTGAATCACAGGCTTTCTTGAAGTCTATGAATAGCTGATGGCGTACCCTCAGCGTAATTAATTAAGCACCGCGTCATTAAGACTTCGGGGAGGGGTGGAGGTATAACTACACCATGAGAAAGTAATACACGTACATACTTCAGACGAAATAAAATAGAACCCGACAGCAATAACAATAGTGGCTACTGGAACCGTAAAAATATGAGTGTATGCACACGAAAGTAGCCTTTATGAGTTCTGTTCGGAACGTTGCAAGATCCAAAGTTCGCCACTATGGCACATTAAAGGAACTATATAAATCTTCTGTGCACTATTCATCGGCGTAATTTTTATCTGAAGCGGCGTTTCGAAGACTGAACTCTATCTCTGACTTTGGTCTACTCTGTTGCGACCAATAAATACAGCTAGTCCCTATTGCTGCCAACAGATATGGAGTAGCTCTGTGGATTGGGTCCAGTGAAGCAGGCTCCTTCCTGAAAACGGGGACAGAATCCAGTCTCCGAAACGTCTTTCCAAATAAAAATTATGACGACAGACAATGTACAGAAAATCAATCATTGGGTCAGAAGAAGGCACTGTGGACGCAATCGATTTTGGCATTATAAGGGCAAAAGCTATCCCTGTAACATGCCATGGAGGTCCATAGGGTTGTGAGATGTTGAGACTCCCGCGTTTCCTAGACAATCGGCTCAGAGATGGCGGTGAGGTTGTCGTCTTTACGAGACGGCCGTCCTTTACCCCCATGAAGATTCCTGGTACTCATTTCTGTTAGAGGCTGAATCGTCTCCAGGGCCATAGTGAAGAATTAGGTAAACTGAAAAAATCCACCTCATCGGGATTCGAAACCGCGACCTTCCGTCTTGAAGCATAGTGCCTCAACCAACTACACTAACGCGTGCCCCCATTACAAGGGTTACACACACAAAAGAGCCAACAGACTGCGTGGAGTCTAATGTCCACACTCCTCATATGCCTTTCTGGCGTGATTCTTATAAACATGGGACGCTTTGAATTTTACTTTTTTCTCTACCCCGAATAGTTCTTACGCGATAAGTAGAGAATCAGCCCTTTGCTGATTCTGAGCTGTTTCCAATAAACACGCTTCTGTCAATGCAGCCCTTTCTTGGTAGGGTGGGGACACGAGATGCTGCAGCAGTGTTTGTATAAGGGTGGAGCACAAGTGCCCTAAGGTATTGCAAGGGTTGAGGGGGTAGAGAAGTAAAGAAAAGACGGTCCATTTTGCAATATGAAAGGACAGCAGCCCCTTCTGCTCAACACGTTACAAGATGAATGCAGAGAGGAAGGGGGGAGTGACAACTTGAATGCAAAATGAATTACCACAGCATTGTATGCATTTCTCCCCCCCCCCCCCCCCTCTTCAGAGTCTTCACCGTGTATGCCTTAGTCAATATTCAGCCGCACCAGAAATTTCTGTTCCCTAACTACAAAACCCGTCATCAGACCTCGTAGGGACTGTCGTGCTCCCTTGACAGTCATTTTAATACTATCCGCCCATCTCCTTCTTGGTTTTCTAAGTGACCTAACCCTTCCAGCCGCACTACGGCTCTGGGGTATACTCAGCCTCTTAACAGAAATTAGTACCAGGAATCTTCCCGGGGGGTAAAGGGCGGCCGGCCGGCATGTAAGGCTGACAACCTTACCGCCATCTGTAAGCCGATTGTCTAGAGAAAATGTGGGAGCCTCGACGTCTCACAACCCTATGGGCCTCCACGGCCTGTTACACGGATAGCTTTACATTTTTTTTAACCTCTGCCTAAAAACATTTGGACCTAGCAAGGATTAAGTAACGGGAGGTTGCGGGGGGAGGATGCATAATGAGTCACATATTGTCAGGACTATCAGCTGAAGAAGGATGGGATGGGCAGGGCATGCAGCTTGTCTGGGAGAGAAGTCAGGGACCACTCAGAAGACACGGACATGGATCTTAAATAGCATGAGCGAGTGAGGGGTGTACACTGGAGTCATCTGGCCCAGGACAAGGACAGTTGCGGTAATGACCCTTCGGGTTCCATAAAGCATTACGAATTTCTTGACTGGTTGAGGAGCTCCAGAGAGATATATTTAAAGACGGACATAGCGTAACAGCAATGAGAAGTGTGACGTGAAGTGGCTAGAACATACGCAAAGAACGCCTCAACACCGAAGCCCTTAGCTGTCCCGTCAAGATGGGCAGATGTCAGGGGTGTCCAACAAAATGACAACAGGAAATATTGTCCCTGTATTTAATTACGCACCATGCCATGAAGGCAGATATACGCGTGGTGGTATAGCTCCACGCATTCTTAACCTCGCTCTATATGGAGAAGAGCGATCAGCTTTACTTCCCTGCCGCATCGCCGTAGAAGACATTCTCGGTACCCACTGGGTAGGAGGCTGGGTGTCGGCCCTGCCAGAAATCGAACTCCGACTGGTCGGTCATCCTGTCCCCAGTCTACTCACTGCACCGAGCCTGCTGCACCTTTGGGACAAGCCATTAAATTTTTAGACTTGCGGCCAGTTGCGATGTTCTTTGAGTGGGCCTCAGATACAGCTATTTCTGCCGTTCTGCACAGGCCCCCTTTCCCCGCCCTTTTGCGGCAGGGTGCGCTATTCCTCCCCCCACAAAATGCCTTCACTATTGGAGGCGACACATATGCTCACTGACTCTGGCTCGACAGACTGAGGAAGGGCTCCTTCAACTCATTTTTTTAACGTGTTAAAATATTCGTGAATTTCAAACACGGCATTTTAATTTAAAATTAGTTGTGTTATCCTCACAGTTTTAACAAGACGCTTATGTACAGGTGTTATTTCATTCTTCCCGGTTCTTTCATGATTTAAAATTCAGAAGAAGATGAATTTGTTAAAAACGCGAAAATTAGGACGTCGTCAAAAGCGTGGGCTTCCAGTAGCTTGATAGTAGCAGTGCTGTGGGGGGGAATGGCACAGGTGGCTTAGAGGCTGTCTGTGTGTGGGAACGTGGGTCCCAGTTACTTTCCCACGGCTCTGACGGCTGTAGCAGCAGCAGCAGCAGCAGAAGAGAGTTGGTTTGACACGGGCCTTACGTACACACACCTGGTCTATCCCCTCCTTCACGTTCCCCTATTATATATAAACACATATACCCGAGGGCTCGCCCTAAACTGTGTCCACTGAAGTAGTGTCTTGCGAGTGTTCCGCGGTAGTGATATTGACAGTAAGTTGTGGCTATCATGAGACCAGACGGGAGTGCCTACATGCTGCCAACCTCTGTGTATGACGAGCAGCCAATTTCAAGAACATATCAATACAGAAAGGTAAGAATTGACGGTAATCAGTGTTTGGATTTTCATATTTATGTATGGTGGCTTTAATTAATAATATATACATAAAAAGTGCCATACCCCGTATGCTAAACCATTAGAAATTGCTTTAAACGCCTAACCCAGGGGTGGGTAAACTTTACAGTCTCAAGGCCGGATTGGAATTTGTGTTTTTGTGGGCCAGAAGGTCAAGTGGAATATATGTTTACTGCTCAGACAAAATCCCCTGCAGTGTAGTTCTTTCGTTCTTGTGGGGAAAAAAATGTATTTTGTTTTTTTGATATGAACTCGTTAATATGTCGGAAGTTTATCTGGATGACTGGGTTGGCCAAATGAATTTGTCACTGGTCGTATGTTTCTCACCCCTGGTGTATCATATTTAATAACACTAATTATGGCTTATTTGAGGTAACGCCCATTTCGGTCGCCTTATCCTTGTGGCATGCTCGCCGACTTAACGTGGTCTAGGAAGCAATGTTTAATGTCTTATAGTGGAAATTATTTGATTTAATTGTGTTGCGCGTAACACGAGAATAATAATTTAGTGTCATAATTTGGTGAAATTGTGGAGACAAATTTACTGTTTTAAATAACGTTGGAAACATTATTAGATCAAATCGTTGCTTCTATGATACAGAATTTGGCTTCTTAAAATATTTTCCTTCAGTTATTTTACATAATTCGTATATTTTGATGTAATTAGTATTTATTTTACAATCTATGAAGAATATTTCATTGTTATTCTTGAAATGTGTGAAATTTATCATTACAACAGTAATTTGCTATTTATAATATATTTATTAGTAATCGGTATTTGATTTCACGGATGATATCTATATTAAGCACAGGTCATATTTAACGACGTTTAATTTCTTTTAAATCACATCCACCACAGGAGCACGAGGTAGCGTAGTTGGTTGAGGCATCATGCTACAAGCTGGAAGGTCGTGTGTTCGATTGCCGGTGTTAATAGAATTTTATTTCGACTTAACCCTCCAGCCGCATTATGTCCCTGGGGTTGACTCAGCCTCTAACAGAAATGAGTAGCAGGAATAATCATGGGGGTAAAGGGCGGCCGGCGCGTAAGGCTGACAACCTCGCCGCCATCTGTGAATTAATTGTCCAGACAGTGTGGGAGCTTCGACGTCTCACAACCCAATGGATCTCTACGGACTGTTATAGCTTTACGCATTTTCAAGCGCAAAATCTGAGCTGGCATAAGTCTTTCATCCTCTTTTTGAGACATTACGCCTAGTATCCTAGTTATTACAGAAAGCATTACGTCTGCATTGTTAGTGAAGTGTCTTTACCAATTTGTAGCATAGTTGCGATGTTTCTGACTTGTGTTCTAGAGGTATCTGGTTCTAATATTAACCCAAGTACCAAAATTTAGATTGTTCTGTGGTGTTTGTCAGTCCTTCTAGGGTAATGTAGGGATTATATGTATCTTGAAACAAGTTACGATCCTTCTCCAGCCTTAGCGTATAGATATCTTAATCTGTTCGTACTTCTGCGCAGGTCATGAAGCCAATGCTCGAACGTAAACGTCGTGCAAGAATAAACAAGTGTTTGGACGAGCTGAAGGACCTGATTGTCACGTCCCTGCAGGCTGAAGGCGAGAACGTCAGCAAACTAGAGAAGGCCGACATCCTAGAGCTCACGGTACGTCATCTGCACAAACTCCGTCGCCAGCATTCCCTTGGTTTGACGCCCGAGGCAGCCTACGCGGACAGGTTCCGCGCCGGTTTCACCCACTGCGCAGCAGAAGTGGTCCAGTATCTCGCTGCTGCCACCTCTCCCCTCAACATCGACCCATCGGCAAGAACCAAACTGCTGCAACACCTGGGGTCATGTATGCACAAGATTGACAACATCTCGAACAACCCCCTGGAAACGGCCGCGGAACCCAATCTCGCTACCTCCAAGTGCTACAACAATGTATACACCCCTCCAGCATCGCCACACCTCCAGGGACCAGTGTCACCCTCTGCTACTCATGTCATGATGAGTCCCACGACCAAGTCGCCTTTGCCCCCGGTCTGGAGGCCGTGGTAACCACGAACTGTCAGCATTTACCCGATATTTATTAATGTAAATATATATATACGCAGTGAAGTGTACGTAGACACGTCAGTGATCGATAAACATTCGGAGGTAATCGAGACACGCCCACTTGGGATTTATCAAACGGACCGCACTAATTGCGTAGGGCATTCACTCATATTAGTGCAGATATTACGTTAATAATAATTATAAAATTAAGAATGGTTTTCTTACGTAATTTAAAAGGTAATTGTTTCGAACCTTAAAATTTTATTAAGTATGATTCCGTATAAAATTGCATGCCCCAACTAAATCCAAAAGAAAACCTACATTGGTCGATTCAAAATAAGCATTACTTGCAAAAACTGCCTTTCTTGAATTATCTTTGAAGGAACGGCATACGTTGGGTAGGCAACCTGACGGAAAAAATTACAAGTGTTCAGTTGGGTAGCAGGTATAGTGATACTGGTTCCACTAAACGTTAGAAACCAAATGGAGTGCCTTCCAACTAGCGGTTTGAAGAAGTCGAAACTTCAAAGATCGTTCTGACAAAGTATACACTCAATTTATTAATGTTCATTTTAAGAATAAATTTGAAGTTTGTATTAATATTGACGTCGTTTCATTTAAGAACAGTTGTTTGCAGTGTAACTTACTACATTATTTCGCATTTATTTGCTCTAAAATTGTAATTTTGCTTTAAATTATGATGTCTGTGATAATGAACACGTACCTGAGACGACTAAATGATAAATATATAACCTCAAATATTTTGTACCCTGTTACGTTACAGATATGCTAATCAATAATAATTATGATGAAACACTGTTATGGAATCTTTTTATTTCATATGTTTGTGTTATCCTGGTCCACATTACACCGGCTTCCTCGAGTTCCCAAAGTCCTGAATTATGGGGGAAATCTGTAATGGTAGAGGAGTCCAATGAAGATGGGAGGGGATTTCGAAATTCTACCTCAATGCCCCATCCTCCCAATATGTGACAGTAATTTGGTTTGTTCCATCTGGGGTTTGAACATGTTTAATGTTATAATCATTCGAACCGATGAATTTGAACAAGGGTGGCTTACGGTTGACTGGGAATTTCTTGGCAAATGGAGAGACTCGCGTCTCCCTTTGAAAACTATTTCACACGTCACAAAATGTCTCAATCTCGTTATCAGATGTTACAGTGATACTCTCAATGGGACTAATTTTTTAGTTACCTCTGAAATTGTATGGAAGTACGAAGGAAAAGAACGAAAAACCTATATTCGGGCCCAGGGTGGATTAACAAACTAGTTACTTAAGGACACGATTTACAGTGGCCTGGATTATGCACTAAAGGTTGGATAATTGTGATGTAAAAGTTAAAAGAGTTGACCCTGTGCTTCACTAATTGAGCATTAATCCACGAAGACGTATGTGGGAGTGGATGTACAGATCCAAGTTTTATACACCTCGGTACTAGTTCGAGGTGAGTGGTCAGGTTCACACCCCGGCCGCTTTACCACCGGGGAAAGAGCCAAATGTAACCCATTGGATAGGAGGCTGTGTGGGCCCCAGAGCCAGTCTGGACGACGTGGAGAAGATAAAATTCTTGACCCTACCGGGAGTCGAGCCCCGACATCTCTGGCATTTAAGTCCGTAGCTACTCGCTATACCAAGGGTACGTAGCCCATGGCCTGTGCTAAGGAATCCCATCGACATTGTAGCGTGTAGAGCCATTACTATAAAATGACCGCGAGATAAGAGAATATACCAGAGCCGTTTCTAGGCAACGGCTCGGTAAACACGTTGCTGCAGCAAGGGATCCCTGTTAGATGGAGGTGATGAGCTTCATGCTCCGGCCGTTTTACCCCAAGACGAACAGCCCATGGTGCCCACTAAATAAGAGGCTGGGTAGGCCCCATGAGCCTTTCTGGACGCTGTTGAGAAGAGGAAAACTCGATGCCCCGAGTGGACTGTCCCTGCACTCTGCATTGGAATCATAACAGAGAAAAGTCCAATCTTCGGCAGTATGTAGCCCTGGAGGTCATGTCTGTCTGTCTATGACATAGTATCTGCGCCTGTACCGTTGGACACAGTTTTTAAAATTCGATATGGAAAACTTTAACGAAAGGATGTGGAGTACCGTATTTACGCATGTATAGGCCGCAGCACAATTTTCAGACAGAAGTATAGAAAAAATAATTTTCTTGGAATATTATTTTAAGGAGTAGAACATCCTGTATTACTAATTATGAATATAATTTTTTTTAAATGAAGTGTGATTTCGAATATAAGCCGCACCCCAGTTTTCCTCTTGAAGTTTTGGCAAAAAATGTGCGGCCTATACATGCGTAAATGCGGTATTTCATATTCATCTTCAATAAAGGCTAATTCTTCACAAGGTCATGGACCTTTCCATGTAGCTCATAAACCGTTTCACATATATTGTTAAAATTCGATATGGGACAGTTCCACCAAAAGTTGTATGACAGTTCTTACTTTCAACCATACTGATCCATAATTATATCTGTCTGTCTGTCCGTCTGTCTATCTATCTGTCTATGTATCCATCCCTGTTGCTCCCACTTGGAGCATAGGACATCTGTGAAACTCTTCGTTTCACTTCAGTTCCAAAATTGTAGGCAGCCGGTAGGACTCCTTGGACGGGGGATCAGCCCGTCGCAAGGTCGCTACCTACACAGGACAACACAAACGCAGAAGAAACGTAGGCAAACCTCCATGTCTTGAGCGGGATTCGATCCCACGATTCCAGGGTTCGAGCGGCCAAAGACATTTCATGCCTTTGACTGCGCGGCCACTGTGGTCGGCTTTTGTTTGTATAAGACCATAAATTTGAATTGGCTATGCATCACATTAACCAACAGCTGCTGGAACTGGATATGGGAGACCTTCACTCATACTTTCCATTATTCCTATTCTGAATTTACTTTAATAAATCCCAAATAATGCCGTTGGCAATTTTGTGTACCACATCACAGAGCACACACACGCAAGTCTTGTTCCCCAGAGACAACGTTTTGTTCGTTAAGTCCCTGAAATTGGCATGGACGCCAGCAGGGGGAGGGGGCAAAACAGGCAGCTTCCCCTTTACCTCCATTTTAAAATTAGTTAAAGAAATATATTATCATAACATGAATACATTAGGGCAATTAGTAAAATTATTTTTAAACAGCCTAAACGTAACTGAAAGCAAATTCTCTGGTTTTCTCCTCTTGGGAGGGAAAAAAAATCCTGGCACAAGTAACGGCCGAGTTATATCGATTGAAACTACGTAAGTAAAGAAAACTGTGCGTGCCCCACCAGTGTGACCCAGAGGGGGGTTTCCTGTAACCGCTCAAGTGTCTGACAACGAGCATGAATTGAAGTTATTACGCGGCCGACACGGTCCATTGAAGGACGCGTTGACAACAATGTGCAGCCCAGCCTTAGTATATTGGACGGTCAAACTGCGGGAGAATCATGTGCATATTGAACACATCCGCTTGCGCGAGAACAAAAGGGCCGACACTGACGTTTTGGAGGAACATGACAACCGCCATCTTCAGGATCGAAGAGTAAGCCAAGCAAGAATCCAATATGAAGAAAAGCAGAGGCTCTGCAACCCTGAACATAGAGACGATATGGTCCTCCGAAACGTCAGTAGAGTTCTACCGGAATACACGGCATTCTATCCCAAAAGATATAACTTTTCATAACCACTGTTTCGAGAACTAAAGTTCCAATTGATAATTGTTTTGAAATACTAAATGCTGTAGTCTAATGGTCAGAGTTCCTGGCTACAGACCCAGATATCCCGGGATCGATTCCCGGCGCTACCACATTTTCTGAGAAGTAGTGGGTCTGGAACGGGGTTCACTCAGCCTGGTGATCATAATTGAGGAGCTGTTTCAAGGAACTAGCGGCTCCGGTCTAGAAAACCAAGATTAACGGCCCTGGGGATCCGTTGCGCTGATCACGTGACACCCTCTATCCCCAAAAGTTGGCACTAACTTCAACAAGCGGCGGTGGCTCGGTCGGTATAGTTCGCTTGCGGACTACAGGCCACGGAGTGTGTTTGTTTTGTTTGTATATGCTAGTAATATTTCAGTAGGTTTAATAATAGGTCACAGAAGAAGTTTCGTTTGAAGGATCGACATGTTTAAGCTTTAGGCATTTAAATTTAATGTTGATTTAAACGATCTTGGCATTATACGGTTGAAAGTGTTGTTTCTGAATTAAAATTACGAAGAACAATATATTTAACCTATTGCACAATCGTTCAAAGATTAGTACATTCCCGCCATAATCCTGTTCTTCCTAACAAACTTTCAGGGTATTTCTCTATATATATTACGGTTTCGATTGTTAACACACAGCGCCGCCATGGTAGTAGCAGACAAATTTCTTTATTGCTAGTGGGGTCAGACTAAGTCCCTTGTACTGCGGCCACTTCTGGCCTACTGTACCAGCCCCAGATGATAGGTGAGTGTGATTGTGGAGCCAATTGGTGGAATGGAGATTGGCAGGGGAAACCGAAGTACTCGGAGAAAACCTGCACCAGCGCCACTTTGTCCACCACAAATCCCACTTGACCAGACCTGGGATCGAACCCGGGCCGCCGCGGTGGGAAGCCAGCGACTAACCGCTTGAGCTCTGGCTCGGCCTAGCAGACACATTAATTAGTCGCCACATTTTACTGCGGCGTGGAGAACAAATTAAGCAGCGGTCATTTTGAGGACACGTGGCGACCTTCACGTGACCTTGTATGTTTTCGCTTGAAATTGCAGCTATATCTGTCAACCTTCACAGGCGTTTGAATGTCCTTAATTTTAATAGTTTCTACGAAATATAATTTATGAATAGAGTTTGGTGTAAGACAGGAGTGATGTATATTGGACTGTTATTAACTAACTAATTTACTAACTGCATTGAGCTGAGCCCTTCTTGAGAAGCCACTAATTGTGCAGGTACTAAAGAACTACCCAGCATTTTACAGAAACCGCAGGTTCGTTAAGGCGTTCACACGAGCCCTCCAATGGTCCCTATCTTGAGCCAGATCGATCCAGTCAATACCATTCCATCCTATCTCTCGAAGATCTATTTTAATATTATCCACCCACGTACGTCTTGGTTTTTCTAGTGGACTCTTTCCTTCTGGGTAGGAGCTCCTCTATCATTACGCCAAATTTGATCTAAATGTGTGTACCGGTGTGGAATTGCATAAAAAACAAAGAAACAAACATACATACATACATACATAGAAACGTACACACGTAAGGACTTTATTTTATTGCTAGTGGGATGGGACTAAGTCCCTTGTACTGCGGCCACTTCTGGCCTATTGTACCAGTCCCAGATGATAGGTGAGGGTGATTGTGGAGCAATTGGTGGAATGAAGATTGGCAGGGGAAACCGAAGTACTCGGAGAAAACCTGCCCCAGCGCCACTTTGTCCACCACAAATCCCACTTGACCAGACCCGGGATCCAACCCGGGCCGCCGCGGTGGGAAGCCAGCGACTAACCGCTTGAGCTATGGCGCGGCCCTATAAGGGACTTACCCCATGCAGGAGAGTTGCCTAGCTACTGTGGGCAAGCGACCTCATCATCCACCCATAATGCCAAGTGCCACCACCAGTCTCATGAGTCTCAGAATAAAACAGCCGAAAATGATAAGGGCTCTACCCCTGTAAAGCAACGTATGAAAACGTAATCAGCGCCCAGCTCGATATAGCGGAGTCATCCTTGAAACGCTGATAGTAGTTCAACTGGACCGAGGTTTCGGAGTTCGAGTACCAGTAGGATAAAAATTTTCTCTTTTCCATGTCGTCAAGACCGGGTCCA